GAAACCTCCGTACTGTTATCCATAGTGGCTGCACCAGTTTACATTTCCACGGTAGTGCACAAGGGTTCCCCTTTCTCCACATCCTTGCCAACATTTGCCTCTTTGTCTTTTTTTTTTATTTTTTTATTGTTATGTTAATCACCATACATTACATCATTAGTTCTTGATGTAGTGTTCCATGCTTCATTGTTTGTGCGTAACACCCAGTGCTCCACGCAGAACGTGCCCTCCTTAATACCCATCACCAGGCTAACCCATCCCCCCACCCTCCTCCCCTCTAGAACCTTCAGTTTGTTTTTCAGAGTCCATCATCTCTCATGGTTCGTCTCCCCCTCCGACTTACTCCCCTTCATTCTTCCCCTCCTGCTATCTTCTTCCTTTTCTTTTTTCTTAACATATCTTGCATTATTTGTTTCAGAAGTACAGATCTGTGATTCAACAGTCTTGCACAATTCACAGTGCTCACCATAGCACATACCCTCCCCAATATCTATCACCCAGCCACCCCATCCCTCCCACCCCCCACCACTCAGCAACACTCAGTTTGTTTCCTGAGATTAAGAATTCCTCATATCAGTGAGGTCATATGATACATGTCTTTCTCTGATTGACTTATTTCACTCAGCATAACACCCTCCAGTTCCATCCACGTCGTTGCAAATGGCAAGATCTCATTCCTTTTGATGGCTGCATAATGTTCCATTGTGTATATATACCACATCTTCTTTATCCATTCATCTGTCGATGGACATCTTGGCTCTTTCCACAGTTTGGCTATTGTGGACATTGTCTTTTTAATAATAGCCTTCCTAGCAGGTGTGAGATGATATCCCATTGTGGTTTTGGTTTGCATTTCCCTGAAGATTAGTGATGCTGAGCACCTTGTCATGTGCCTTTTGGCTATTTTGAAAGTAGCCTGAACTTCTATTCAGGGTTTGCCTATTTTTTAATTCAATTATTATTATTTTATTATTTCTTTTCTTCATTTTTCTTGTCTTCTTTTGCAGTTTTGTTGTATGTATTTCTTATATATTTTGGATATTAGCCTCTTATCAGATATGTAGTTTGCAAATATTTTTTCCCATTCCATAGGCTGTCTTTTCATTTTGTTGATGTTGATTTCTTGTGCTGTACAGAAGCTTTTTAATTTGATACAGTTCCACATTTATCTCTGCTTTATTGCTTGTACTACTGGTGTCATATCCATGAAATTAACCCCAAGACATGTCAAGGAGGTTTTTTCCCCTCTGATTTCTTTTAGGAGTTTGATGGTTTAAGAACTTACATTTGTCTTTAATTCTTTCCAAGTTAATTTTTGTGAGTGGTGTAAAATAGGGGTCCATTTTCATTCTTATGCATGTAAATATCCAGTTTTCCCAGCACCATTTATTGAAGAGATGGTCTTTTTCTCATTGTGTATTCTTGGCTCCCTTTGATTGGGTTTAAATCTAGCAGTTTACTTTTGCTTTCTGTTTATCTCATTTGTTCTTTTTCTCTCTTTCTTCATCTACCTTCTTTTGGTTTGAGTACATTTATGATTCCATTTTTTCCTCCTATATTGTCATATTAGCCATAATTCTCTGTTTGTCTGTTTGCTTTTGGTGATTTCTTTAAGGCATTGGTTCCCAAACTGCATTCCTTGGACCAGCATCACCTGGAACTTGTTAGAAAAGCAAATTCTTGAGCCCTATCCAAGATCTCTGTTATCAGAAGCTCTAGGTCTGTGGGCCAACTGGTGTATGGTCTGTGAAGTCCCTCAAGTAATTCTGATGAAGCTAAAATCAGAGGAACATTGTTCTCGGTTTAGAGTGTACATCATTAGCTTATCACAGTGTACTCCAAATAATATTATACCACCTTCTGTACTTCCATTCCCTGTGCATCTCTTTGGCTGTTGTTCTTACTCATCTTTCTCTTCCATATACTATAAAGTCCATGATGCAGTGTTTTTAAATTTCTTTTAGCATCAATTATATTCCAAAGAGATTAAAAATTAGGCAAAATACACACTACATTTATTCACACATTTACCATTTTTGTGCTTTTCATTCCTCTGGGTAGATTCAACTTTCCATCTGATTTCATCCTCCTTCCTGAAGACTTTCCTTTAATATACTTGATAGTGCCGGTTTGCTAGTGATGAATTCTCTCCTCTTTCATTTGAAAAGCTTATATTCCATCCTAGTTTTGAAAGTTATTTGTGTTTAGTGTAGAATTTGCTTGGTATGGAATAGTTGGATTTTCTCTTGTCTTTCAGCACTTTGAAGATGTCACTTCATTGCCTCCTGACATGCATAGTTTTTGACAAGAACTCCATCTTTCATCTTCTGTTTATTATTTATAATGTGTCTTTTTGCCCCCTCTGGCTGTTTTTATGTTTTTCTCTTTGTCACTGGTTTTCAGTTTTATTATAAGTTGACTTACGTGGTTTTCTTTGTGTGTATTCTCCTTGGGGTTCATTAGATCCTTGGATCTATGTATTTGTTTTCATCAAATTTGGAAAAAAGAATTGGCAACTATTTCTTAATTTCTTTTTTCTTTTTCCCTTTGTCTTCTCTCATGTTGGGACTATAATTACATCTCTATTAGACTAGTTGATATTGTGCCACAGGTCACTGAGCTGTGTTCATCTTTTTTCCTAATTTTTATTTTCTGTGTGGTCCATTTGGGTAGATTGTAGTGCCAGGTCTTTAAGTTTAATTATTTTTCTTTTGCAGTGCCTATTTTTCTGTTAACCCATCAGAATATTTATGATTTTAAATATTCCATTAAACACTAGAATTTCCACTTAGGCCTTTAAGAAATCTTCTATTTCTCTTCTCGTCATGGTGATGCTTACCTTTGAATATAATGAAACATGGTTCTCATCACTGTTTCAATGAAATGTCTGATAAGTCCATCATTTTTGCCATTCTGGGCCTGTTTCTGTTGACTGATCTTTCTCCCTGTTATTAGTTGGCTAGGACTTGCTTCCATAACAAAATCCCACAGACTGAGTGGATTATTTTTTCAAAGCCCTAGAGACTGGAAGACTAATATCAAGATGCCAGCAGGGTTTATTTCCTCTGAGACCTCGCTCCTTGCCTTGCAGATTACCACCTTCTTATTGCCTTTTCATAGGGTCTTTTTCTCTGAGCATGTGCATTCCCTCATGTCTCTTTGTGTATCCAATTTTCTCTTATGAAGACATTAGTGAGATTGGAGTAGGATCCACTCTAAAGCCTTATTTTAACTTAATCACATCTTTAAAGCTTTTATCTCCAAATACAGCTATATTCTGAAGTACCGGGGGTTTGATTTTTTCCACATAACGAATTTTGAGGGGACATAATTCAGCCCATAACCCTCCTAGTTTTGGTTTGTAAAATTATTGGTGATTTCTTATTGAGTACTGTACATTGTGAAGTTTAGATGTTAAAAGCCATATTTTGATCTTTTCAATACTGTTGAACTTGTTTCTGGCATGCAGTTTTGTGACTTGGGTTTGGTTTGATCCTTCTGGGTATAGATCCAGAGCACCTTCAGTCTAAGGCTAATTTTACCAACATCCACCCTGCCTCTTGCAAGTAAGGTGATAACTTTCTAGAACACTACCCATTGCCCACATATGATATGTAGATCTTTCCGTTCTGGCTTGTGGGAATATGAATTATTCACAACCTTGTGTCAACTCGGAATTGTTTGCCTTACTGCTCCCTGCTCGTTCTTTATCCAGATTCATGTAGTTTCCCTCACACACGAGCACATCAGTACTCAGCCAAAGACTTGAGGATAGAGCTTCCTGCTGTGAATCTCTCTTCCCTTCCACAAATTCTAGCAACTTTGTCCTCCATGAATTCCATTCTTTGTCTCGTCAATTCAGTGAGACCCCCAGTCTTGGCTTGAGTTTCTCAGTGCTGCAGCCTATAAATTGCTTCCAGGCCATAAGCAGAGACAGTTGCCAGCAACTGGTTTTCTCACCTTGTTTTTTTTCTCTTTTACCTACTGTCCAGTACCTGAATATATTTATCCCATGTATTGGGTTTTTCCCCTAGTTTTTCGATGCATGAGGGTAAATCTAGTCCCTGCTACTCCATCATGGCTGCAAGTAAAAGTTCTATTTTTGTAGTTCTTTGTTTCACTTTTCAAGGTGCAAAATTTCAGTAAAGCCATTTTTTTAAGTATTATAAAATCTTGGTACCCATTTAAATGGATTTACTGGGTTTTTTCAGCACCATTTATTCTCAGATAAGATAATGAGGACATACTATATTTATCCAAGATATGATATGAATTGTTAATCACTTTGGTATCATAGGAAGAATTCAATGCAAATAAAAAACTTCGGAGGAAGATCGATGTGAAATACCAGTCATTTCCTGGGATTTATTTAGTCAATTTGTTAGGGATATGTATAATTTATCTACTAAAATTTTATGTTAGCAAACAATAAAAACTGCTTGGCATTTGGTGCAGTTATTACAGTGCATAAATAAAAAAGAAAATGTATACAGATTAATATGCTTTTGTTTCAATGGGGATATAAATTAGTTACTTAGAATTATCCTTTCAAATTGGTAATAGCTTTTCTTCTTTTACTCATCACTGCCCATGACAATTCATGGGATCTTTAGAAAAATGCATATAAAACATCTAATAAGAGAAGATTGACATGACCCAGTGTGGATGGACATCTATCCACAGCTGCTCTTGATTTCGTTTCTGTATATAATGGAAAGGCTAAGGGCAGACTGCTCACTTTCTGTCTGATAATAAGCAAATCTGTGCTCATACTTACATTCTTTGAATTATTCTGAATTCTAGCAGGGAAAGCATGCAATACATAAAATATCGTCATGGTGATCATTTACATTTTGAAATAATTGGGAAATTAATTCAGTATGCAAAGCAGCAAGAAATGAACTTTGTTAATACTTTAAACATGCTTCCGATACATCCTTCTTGTTTTGTTCTGCTTAATTTTCCACCTGATTTTCCATTTTCTTCCTCTCTCTCACTAGGAAAACTGTTGGTGTTTTCTGCTGTGGACCCAATTCAATTTCTAAGACTCTTCATAAACTGAGTAACCAAAACAACCCATATGGGACAAGATTTGAATACAATAAAGAATCTTTCAGCTGAAAGCCTTTGAGAGGAACCAGGATTCTGAACAAGGAATGAGTGCAATTTCTAAGACTTTGAAGCTCAGCTGAATCAAGTAGCTGTGTCATGCCAAAGAGTAGCAAGGTTTTCTTATTTATGATTATTTAAAATGGAAATGCAGAGGATGTGGCAAGATGACAGGTCACATTACATGTTTAATCTGGAAACCAAAGAGGCCCTGAAGAATAGTTGCTGTGATGATTCACTTTTCAGTGCTCAAATGAAAACAAAACTATTAGATGCACACTGTTGATTTTTATGGCAGATTCAAGAACTCCCTAGTGAGGTGCCTCACTTGCTCACTGTGAGGCTGATAGCCTTGGTCCTCTTTGAATTGTTTTTGGTTGAACAAATGCAAGATTGAATGAAATTAAAAATGCATTGAAACTCAGATTACATTTTCTACGTGAGTATAAACAGAGTAGTTTTGATTTAGGAAAGCTCCAGACAAATGTAGTAGATGTTTGAAAATACAGCACAGAACTATGTATTAATACGGGTACTTTGTGTCTCCTCTTCCTCACTACTGACACTAATACCTCTATTTGATGTCTGTGGCCTTAATGCTGAATGAACTTTGGTAGATGTTGATAGAGTATCTATTTTTATATTTTTCTTTCTTTTTTCCTCTGTCTATGGAAATTTGCCCTCCTTTGCATGCATTAGACACAATGATTTAATAGGTTCTTTTCATCTGCAATTTATTTAATCTATTACTGTTGCATAGTAATGAGGAAAATATCATTACTGTAAATCATAAAGGAATATATAGACTAATAACTTTTACCATTGCTCAGCATTTTGGCCTCTGTTATTTTTATTTACTTTTTTCCCCAGCATAGATTGTCTTATTTTTCACCTCTGAAGATACTTTGTATAATTTGCACTTTTAGACCGAAGAGCACTGTGTTTCTCAGTGATCACTGAGATATGAGATATCTCTCTTTTGCCACATATTGGTTTATACTGGAGACATTGAAAGTGCAGTCACATTCCTGAACTACAAGAGGAAATACTTCATTAATTATTTGAATTTAAGTTCAGAATCAGGCATATTATTTGTTGCACCATCTGGTATTCTGGGTCTTGATGGGAAATTATCGAGTTTAATGGGACGATACTGCATAACCCTATGCTCACTGGCCATTATATTCTTGGTTCAGAGGAAAACTCCATTTCCCTACTTTAAGAATTAAGTCATTTTTTGCAGTTTAGTGATTTTGTTTTGTAGACATCTATCAATTGCTATCAAAGAGAGCACATTGCTGAAATAAGCAGAATGACTTATCTTGTCTTTGTTGAAATTTTGCGTGGTTTCACAGAACATGATAGATGCTACTGTCATTTTTTGCTCTGATTCACCAATAGCAATCAAGCATGATAAACCATCTAGCATTGAATGCCCATGAACATATTACTTATAGATATTTCTTCCTTCCCTTGGAATTCTTTCTTCTTCCTTCTGTGGAAGGAAGGCGAGTCAGAAAAAGATATGGGAAATGTGCAATGTTCCTACAGATTTAGCTCTGAAGGCATATTTGATAACCAGTACATCTTGGCAACATTTTCTAAACTAAAAAGAATTTTCATAAAAACACATAACAGAAAGAACAAGTAAAAAGAAATTTGAGTTAGTACAGGCTTGATGTGCAATACTGACTCTTTGCTGATCATAGTTTATTGATGTGATTATACTAATACCCCTAATTTCAGTAGAAGAGGTGGAAGACTTTTTCAGAAAAGGAAACATCTTTCTTGGTAGGTCTGCTATTCTAGATGAACAGCCCTGTCTCTTTGAAATTCTAGTTGATGTTCAAACATGAAATGTTAAATACAGGTCATCTTTGCTTCTTTTTTTTTTTTTTTTTTTTAAAGATTTTATTTATTTATTTATTTGACAGCAAGAGAGGGACAGCGAGAGAGGGAACACAAGCAAGGGGAGTGTGAGAGGGGAAGCAGGCTTTCCGCTGAGCAGGGAGCCCGATGCGGGGCTCGATCCCAGGACCCTGGGATCATGACCCGAGCCAAAGGCAGACGCCCAACGACTGAGCCACCCAGGCGCCCCGTCATCTTTGCTTCTATGGGTAGTAATAAAATTAGGTTTTCATCATGAATGTAGAATAGAGTTTTGTTTTGTTTTGAGGGATTTTTTTTTTCCTCTGGGGCTATGTCTTGTCCTACAGGTCTTAAAACAGTCATGTCAGTGGCAATAAATGTTAAAATCGAAAGGGTATCATGAGATCTCTATAAGCATGCTTTACCTTTGCAACAAATAAAGCAGGCAGTGTTTTTTCACAAGATGAGGCAAATTGAAGAAACATAATCTATTTGCATCTACACTAGCATGAGAGCCTTAGGGGTTTGAGTTCTACAGCTGTGGATGTCACTGGCCCATGGTGTAACTGTGGCAAATTGCTGCCACTTTGGGATTAAGATTTTTTGTTTGGACTAGATTAGTAGTTATTAATCTTTTCTGGGTAATGTATCTTTTTGAGAACCTGATTAAAAGTGAATATAATGACATTAATGCAAAATATTACATACAATTTTGGGGAGCCCACAATCTCCCCAATTCAAGAACCCAAAGCAAGGACCCCAATTTAAGAACCTCTGAACAAAATAATCCATCACTCTAGACCTTTCTACATATACATTTTTTTAAAGATTTTATTTATTTGAGAGAGAGAGAGCCCATGAGAGGGGGGAGGGTCAGAGGGAGAAGCAGACTCCCTGCTGAGCAGGGAGCCCGATGCGGGACTTGATCCTGGGACTCCAGGATCATGACCTGAGCTGAAGGCAGTCGCTTAACCAACTGAGCCACCCAGGCGCCCACTATGTATACATTTTTTTGTGATTTTTTTTTTGCAAGAAACTATCCATTTTTGTAAGATTATAGTAGGAAATTAACTCTGTGGACAAAGGAAAGGAAATTCTCTTTTTATGCCCTCAAACAGAGAATCCAACAGAACATTCCCTCAGTTTTTAATTTTAGATCTCCTGCTTTATGCAAGGGAAGGCTGTGATTTTACATATCCATAATAATAAAAGACAGATTCATATACATACATGCATGCATGCATGCATACATACCACACATGTATTCATGGCTTACTTTTTTTTCTTTTCTTTTTTTAAATCCGGTTAAAAATGAAATGATGGTTTTTTGTTTTGGGGTTTTTTTTCATTTAGCAACTGAAAATGCCAGCTGGGTGATTGTTATAACAGAAGCACTTAAAACAAAAAATAAAAGCAATATAGACAAAGCATAGGCTGAATTGATTTAATCTCTATATCCGAGTAACTTACAACTCCCCAAATCATTGTTTACTTGGAGCATTCACAGCAGGTAACACTGAAATCATAAGGCATTGCTAAAGAGGCTGGTCAGAGGCAAATGGCCATTGTCATCAACAGATAATGCTAGTGCCTAAGAATGTTTATGATATTAAAGAGAAAAAAAAATTTAAGAAAAAAAATTTTTTCCTTAAGGTTAATCCAGCTTGAACGGTGTTGTTGTTTTTAAACAAACTGATGAGACACATTTTTAAATGCTACTTATGATAAACATTTCCATTTTGTGTGCAGTCCAGGACATTTTCATATCCAGTAATGTTACAGAAACATAAAAGGCTGAAGTTAGGAGTACTCTTATTTTGTGGTCGAGAACACTGAGTTATAAAGGGAAGTGGTAGCTTGCTCAGTCATCCACTGGCTGAGATGTACGGCACAGTGTATATGTAGTCATATCGCAGTAATGTTATGGTAACAGGTGGTGACTGCACTTATTGTGGTGGGGAGAAAAGTCATCCACTGAGTTTGTCGTGGAACTGAAACTGGAGTTCAGCCTTCCTCCTCTCTGCTGCTCAAGGGCCCTTTCCACCTCCCCATGACATCCACATCTAATAAGACACATCTGGTCCCATTAGTTCGCTGTAAACTCTATTTAGTGTGAGGTGGAAAATAAGGTACTATGTGTTAATTCCAGATTCAAATGTAGAAAATCACACTCTTCTTCCCTATGTATCTTCTGATTCTAAATATGTTAGTCTTTTATGTTTTGCCAATTAGAACCTATTTCCAGAAATCAGTTTTAAAATATGGCAATTCTGCAAACAATGAATCACGGAACACTACACCAAAACAAATGATGTAATATATGGTGATTAACATAACAATAAAAAATTAAAATTAAAAAAATAAATAAAAACTAATGATGTATGGTGATTAACATAACAATAAAAATAATTACAAAGTCAAAAAAATAAAATAAAATAAAATAAGATAAAATATGGCGATTGTGCTGAAGGGATTATGTTCTCCAGAACTTTGAAGAAATATGGAATAGTATGGTTTCTAGGAAAAACTAATATTTAATTTTAAAATTTAGATTCATAAACAGAAGTCATAACTTCCCAGCTTTCTAACCATCCAGGAAAATGTTGATATTAAAACAGATGATTATTGTTCTCTACTCACATGACCATTATGTTCAGGAGAAAACAATCAGCTTTTTGTTAACTAGTGAGACAGGAAATAAATGAAATCAAGCATAATGAACATTTACTTCAACCAGCACAGAACAATGAGAACTCTCTCCTTCTGTCTAAATCTCCACTCCATTACCCCAGCTTTTTTATCCCATACTGTGGTATTCTCAAAGGACAAAGTTGCAAAAGCTAGCTAGATGAAGTTTTCCAAAGGAAAGAAGCAGAAGACTTCTAATACTTAGTGAAGGAAGGTCCATTAAGAGAGAAAGAGAGAAAGAAAAATGGCCATGCCAGTCACTTAAAATTAGCAAAGAGTTAAGCAATGTTGCTTTAGAACAGAGACCATAAATTTTCTTTGAAGTGAATATGCAGAATGTTTAGTTTCTCTTATACAAAATTGTTATATTCTTGTTGAAAATCTAAAAGTGGATTTCTTATTTTAAACATTGTAGCAAAATTACCAGTAATCTTCCTGCAGTGTTAGGCTACAATTTAAGAATTGGTAAGGGCAAGAAATGCCTTAGAAGAGCAAAACTAGGAAGAAAAAAAAGGAGTCAAAGAAAGAAAAATTACTGAACACATCAGGACGTGATTATGCTTTTCTTTTCAGAACTCGATAGATGTTCAAGTGTTTGGCAGAACTGGCTATTACTGTGGTTTGGGAAAATGTAAAAGAATGCAATATTTGGTTTGTTTCTAGGGGTCCTTTCACATTTTAATGAAACTAGAATTTTAGCAGAAGCTTTAGCAGAACTAGAATTTTAGCAGAAGCTTTACCTTTGATCAGAATTACATCTGGCTTCTAGGAGAATTAGTTTTCATGAGCTGCTGGTTGACCTGGAGACAACCCCACCATTTAGATGGGAACCAGCACTATGTAAATGCTCTAATATATGTAGCAATAAAGAAGGGGAGTCTGCCATGCCTTTCTTCAGCTGCATACACTGCATATTAAAATTCTGTCACTGCAAGGTTATATTTCTCAGCTCTCATCCTTCCACCCAGAGAATGAAACCCTCTTCACAAATGCAGACACTGAGAAACAGAAGTTCTCTCTTGCATTGTAACAGTGTATCTGTTCACCTATATCTGCCTATTCATTTGAAACTGGTTCTCAATTAGGATGACTATGTAGTTCA